CCTCTTATGCTCCCAATTCCAGAGTTTTCAGGCCTTCCATATAGTACTCATCTGAAGCCAGAACCCTCTCATTGATGATCTAAGGTCAGTGTTTCCCACACCTGAAAGAGCATACAAATCACTTGAGAGCTTATTAAAAATGCAGACTCTGATTCAGTAGGTCTGGGTTGGGGCCTAAGATTCTGCATTCTTTACAAGCTCCTGGGTAATACCCATGGAGTATATGGTCCATGGCCTATACTTTGAAAAGCAAGGCTCTAGATGACTGGAGTAGTCTCTGCAATGGTCTCCCAGGAAGAGTCTGTCTATCCATGTCTTTCTGTCTATCCATCCTCCAGATGGCAATGAGAATCGTATCTCCTACCTTCCTGATTCAGAAATCTCACTCCATGGCAAATAGACAATACAAACCTAGTTCATAAATTCCCTCTAAATGTGAAAAAACACATCCTTCACAACACTCTCATTCTTTCATGACTCCTAAAGGTCCGTATAGGCTAGAATTACTCTCATTTCTTTTCCAAATCACCTATCCCTTTTTTAGTTCCCAAATTGCTCCATAGGCATCCTCCTCCAGAAGTGTCTCTTGACCAATACCTTTCTCAGTTTCTACTCATACATTCCCTTCCAAAGTAATGATGTCGCCATCCCTATCTAGTTCCTCATTCCTCCTATTTCAGTCCATTTTTCTCCCCATTTGGAGTGTAAATTCTCTCTCCAGAGAATCGTAGATGCTCTCCTGAGGTTTTTGCACCAGTCTCTCAACACAGCATCTAAAAGAGTTGGTAGGGGGATCCCTGGGTGGCTCAGCGGTTTAGCGCCTGCCTTCAGCTCAGGGCGTGATCCCGGGATGGAGTCCCACATTGGGCTCCCTGCATGGAGCCTGTTTCTCTCTCTGCCTCCCTCTCTCTGTGTCTCTCATGAATAAATAAATAAAAATCTTTCAAAAAAAATAAAGAGTTGGTAAGTATATGGGTAACCCTGCCTCTAGCAGGCTCCCCTGGAGTCACCTGCTCCCTATTGCGAATATGAGAAATTCCACAAGCAAGCAAGCAGCTTCCTATCTCTCCCTCCCAGGGTAGGCCCCATACATAAATACAATAGGAAAACACTGGCCCTTCTGTCCCAAAGCATAGAACTCTGCTTCAAGAAGGTGCCTGTTGTGCCCACGCTGGAGCCAGTCTAGACTTCAGGGCTTCCATGGAGTCAGGTAGAATGGGTTGGGCCTTCTATCAAATTGCTCCTTCCTGCCCCTCCCCCAAGTCCCATGGGAATAGATGGAGAAGGACCAGAGGAGGTCGGTTCAGGCATTCTCCTGCCCCAGGGCTGTATTTTCCCTGCTGCTCTTTGAATGAACAACACTGTTCTCTTGGCTGGGTCTAGAGTTAGGAGAGAACCTCCCCCTTGCCCTCAGCAAAATTCCACTGTGATGGGACAGGATAAGATAGTCACCAGAACTCAGGGATAGCCAAACAAAGGCAGAATTAGAAGTGCCTGGGTACAGATCTAGATACAATTCTGGATGGACAGAAATGCCATTTGTCAAGGAGACCTTCCTAGAAGATAGTTTGAAAGGAGTAGCACAGTGCTAGCCTGAAAGGAAGGAGAATTTTCTGTACCAAAGAGACTTGTAAGGCTCAATTCAATTTAACATGAATTTATTAAATGTTCATTTTGTGCCTGGCTCCCAGCTGGATGCTCTGGGGGAGTAAACAAGATACACTCCTTATGACCTACAATCTAGAGAACAAAATAAATAAAGATAAGTGTAGTATTTTATTTTTTTATTTCAGCTTTGGTGAGGAAGTATAATTGACATAAAATTATAAGATATTTAAGGTGTACATTGTGGTGATTTGATATATACATACTCTATAAATAAATAAATAAATGATTCACTATGATTTCCCCACTGTGAAAGGATTAACAATGATATTTTAATCTGAATGTTTGTTAAATGAAGGTTAAGGGTTAAGAGGGTTCGTGTGTTTCCCTCACTTTATCTTTACATGTGGAAGGGCTTCAGCTGCAGCTTTGGTTTTCAAAGTGGGGTCCCTGGACCAGCAGCATCAGCATCACCTGGGAACTTGTTAGAAGCTCCTGGGCTCCACCCAGACCAACTGATTTCCAAATGCCGGAGCCAGGACCAGCAAGCTATTTTCCCAAGACCTCCAGGTGAGGTGACATCCACTGAAGTCTGAACACCACTGAGCAGAGTACTATTCCTGGCTTCTCTCTATACCCCCTCTCTCATTGTGACTTTGGTTAGTGAGTTGAAGAGACAGCACTGAGCATGCCCAGCTCAGCCTCTTCCAGTTTTTTGTTGGTTTCCTTTCTTTTTTTTTTTTTTTTTTTACCCAGAACCAACCTGCTCATACATGAGAAAATCTAATAAAAGCAGGCTCTCTCCTGTGGTAGAAGGCAGGGGCTGTTCCGCACTACTTGTGATGAGGAATAAGTCTAATTTAGTGACTCGGTATTTGCAAGCCAATTAGGCTGGAGATCTAAAGTGGACGGTTTAATCATCTGTCTGTATGTCTTGAGCATCAGCTGCTTCCAAACATAGAAAGGGGGAAATGCAATGTTATTTATTGTATCTCTACAGCTCCAATAATCAGTTGTTGTGAAAAGTGGGCAGGAGGCAGGTACAGACCACGTGCAGTATAGAGACTAGCTGAGAGAATAACAGGACAAAAAAAATTCTCAAAATTTTTAACTAAATGGAACTTGAGAAATGATCAGTTCTGACCTCTCACATTACAGAAAAATAAACAGAGCAATGAAGGAGCTGCATGGTTTGCTCAAGGTCACATTGGTAGTTAGTGATGGAAACAAGACTAAAACCCAGGACACCTGGCTCTCAGCTGTGCACTATCTGAGCCGGTGACTAAAGCAGGCAATAGTGGAGAAACTAAAATCCAGGAATATGGGGGCTTCTGGCTCAGTGGTTGAGCATCTGCCTTTGGCTCAGGGTGTGACCCTAGGGTCCTGGGATTGAGTCCTGTGTTGGGTTCCCCACAGGGAGCCTGCTTCTCCCTCTGCCTGTGTCTCTGCCTCTCTCTGTGTCTCTCATGAATAAATAAATAAAATCTTAAAAGAGAAAAATAAAGGGATCCCTGGGTGGCACAGCGGTTTGGCGCCTGCCTTTGGCCCAGGGTACGATCCTGGAGACTCGGGATCGAATCCCACGTCGGGCTCCCTGCATGGAGCCTGCTTCTCCCTCTGCCTGTGTTTCTGCCTCTATCTCTCTCTCTCTCTCTCTCTCTCTCTCTCTGTGTGTGTGTGTGTGTGTGTGTGACTATCATAAATAAAAAAAAAAGAAAAAAGAAAAATAAAGTCCAGGAATACAGGTATCACCACCAAGTAGAAGAACCAAACCCAGGGATTTTCAGCACAGGTGCTTGGGTTCAAGGCAAAGTGCTTTGTGCTCAGAGGGCAGCTCCGGCTCCATCCACCTGTGCATGTTCTGTTGTTGTCTCACACAGCCCAGCCTCAGTGTGCTCCGAACACTGCCTCTTTCTCCTGTACTTCTCCTAGTGTTGTCCTCTCTGCCTACAATCTCTCCCTGACGCCCACTTGTGGCAAAATTCTGTCCTTGAAGAGACCCAACTCAGACACCATTCCTCTAGTCTTTGATTTCACCAATCAACAACCCTCACCACTGTGCCAGCCACAGATGATCCTCCTCGACTCTGAATTTCCAAGACACTTTATCTGGATATTTCTTATAACAACACTTTCTACTTTGTGTTGCAGCTATACTTTATCCCTTGTATTGGAATATAAGCTCCCAGGGTGGCCTGGCTGGCTCAGTCAGTAGAGCATGGGACTCTTGACCTCGTGAGTTCGAGCCCCACACTGGGTGTAGAGATTACTTAAAAATAAAATCTTAAAAAAAAATATATATAAACTCCTTCAAAAAAATAGTAAAAACAAAATATGAGTTTCTTATGGGCAGGGACTATGGTCAGCTTTTTTTTTTGTCTGTTTCTAGTTTATTTTTTTAGTGAAATATAATTAGCATACAATGTTATATTTGTTTCAGCTATACAATATAACAATTCAAAAATTCTGTACATTTCTCAGTGCTCAAGATAAATGCACTTTTTAAAAATATTTTATTTATTTATGACAGATACAGAGAGAGAGAGAGAGGCAGAGACACAGACAGAGGGAGAAGCAGGCTCCATGCAGGGAGCCCAACGTGGGGCTCGATCCCAGGTCCCCAGGATCACACCCTGGGCTGAAGGCGGTGCTAACCCGCGGAGCCACCCGGGCTGCCCTAAGTGCACTCTTAATTCCCTTTATCTATTATGTCCTTCCCCAACCACCTCACCTTTAGTAACGACCAGTTTGTTCCTTGTATTTAAGAGTCTAGGGCTTTTTGTTTGTTTGCTTGTGTTTTTTTGTTTATTCATTTGTCCTGTTTCTTAAATTCTACATATGAGTGAAATCAAATGGTATTTGTCTTTCTCTGACTTATGCCACTTAACATAATACCCTCTAAGTCCATCCATGTTGTTACAAGTGGCAAGATTTCATTCTTTTTTATGGCTGAGTAGTATTTCATTGTGTATATATACCACATCTTCTTTATTCATCTATCGATAGACACTTGGGTTGCTTCCCTATCCTGGCTATTGTTAATAATGTTGCAAAAGCATAGGGGTGCATACATCTTTTCAAATTAGTGAAAGTGAAAAGCTTTTGCACAGCAAAGGAAACCATCAACAGAACAAAAAGGCAATCTACTGAATGGGAGAGGATATTTGCAAACGATATATCCAATAAGACGTTAATAAACAAAATACATAAAGCCTGGGTGGCTCAGCGGTTTAGAGCCTGCCTTTGGCCCAGGGCGTGATCCTGGAGTCCTGGGATCGAGGCCCATGTCGGGCTCCCTGCATGGAGCCTGCTTCTCCCTCCTCCTGTGTCTCTGCCTCTCTCTCTCTCTATGTCTATCATAAATAAATAAATAAATCATTTTAAAAAAATACATAAAGAACTTACACAACTCAACACCAAAAAATCCAATTTAAAAATGAGCAGACCTGAATAGACATTTTTTCAAAGAAGACATACAGATAGCAAACAGACACATGAAAAGATGTTCAGCATGATTCATCATCAGGAAAATACAATTTAAAACTACAATAAGTTATGGCTTTATACATGTCAGCATAGCTAAAATCAAAAAGACAAAAATAACAAGTATTGGTGAGGATGTGGAGGAAAAGGAACCATCATGCAATGTTGGTGGCTGTTGGTACAGTCACTATGAAGCCAGTACGGAGGTTCCTCAAAAAATTAAAAATAGAATTACCATATGATCCAGTAATTCCACCACAAGCTATTTACCCAAAGGAAATGAAAACACTTTTTTCTAGTTTCTTTTAATAACAATTTTTTAAATTCAGCAAGTAGACACAAGTGAAAAGTAGACAAGTTAAATTAAAAAAAAAAAAAGATGAGAAAGAGCAAAGACACATCCTTCACTCCACAATAAACACAGAGCTCTATTAGTGTTTCCCCCCCAACATGCCACGGGAGGGCTGGCTTTCTGTGTGCTCCAGAGTACTCTCCGTTATAGGGCAGGGAGACCAGGCAGCGTTCAGGTGTGAAGATGTCAAATCGAATATGTACTGGCGCTGCTGAGTTCAAGGTCCTCAGTTTGGGGCCTGACTAGAGTGGGTTTAATCAACGCATGCTGGATCCCATAGCCAAAGTAGATAGCAAACCCAATCAGCATCCAGACACCAAATCGGGCCCAGGTGCCAGCGGCCATCTGCATCATAAGGTAAACATTCATAAAGATGCTCATCAGTGGGAGGAGAGGCAGAGCAGGTACCCTAAAGTAAAGGGGGGTGGAGCTTTGTGGCTGTCTCCAGATGACCCCAGTGATCCCGGTAATGAGCACCAGGAGCAGCACAACCGCTGTGATCCACCCTGGGTCTCCAGAAAGCAGTAGAATTGGCCACTGAGCCAGCACCAGGCCAAGAAGAGTCAGCAGCAGAGCAAGCAGCGAGGAGCAGACATAGACAACCAGGCCGGAGAGTGCAGTGGGCGTGGGGCTGCCTGGACAAAAGAGTCCCCGCAGGGTCAGCTTCTCTGCTGCGGGTCCGTCCTCCTGCTGTGCCCCTGCTTCATCATCTTCATCCTTCATTTCGGGCTGATACCTGGCGATGAGAACACAGAGAGCCACCAGGGAGTAAGTAAGCAGGGTCCCAATGGACATGAGGTCCACAAGGTCAGTGAGTCCAAAGAGGAGTGTCACGAAAGCTGTGATAATGCCCAAGGCCACCGTGGCCACGACAGGGATGCCCGTCCTGGTGTACAACCTGGCAAGGACACGGAACAGGAGGCCATCGTTGGCCATCACGTAGAGCATCCAGCGACTGAGGAACATAGAGTCCAAGATACCAGTAGAAAGGGCACAGAGGGCTCCACTGGCCACCACGTAGCGCGCAGAGGCCCAGCCAACGTGCAGAAATGCCTCGGGCAAGGGGCTCCCGGGTTGGAGCTGATAGTAGGGCACCAGGAGTGTAAGTGCCGAAGAGACACCAAAGTACACCAGAAAGCAGATGAACACGGAGATCACGATGCCCACGGGGGCAGAACGCTGGACGTCCTGGGCTTCTTCGGCGGCAGCAAGAATGCTGTCAAAGCCTGTGAATGCGTACAGGCAGGAGGCTGTTCCACGGAGAACCCCCTCGAAGCCGAAAGGCACAAACCCTCCAGAGCCCAGAGGCCCCAGGCCAGAGGTGTCATTGAGTCTAGACACGGTCAACGCGTAGTCCTCCTCGGTGAGCTTCCAGTTGTGCAGGTCCCCCTTAATGAAGCCAGAGACGATGACAAAACCAAGAACCAAGACGTTCACCACTGTGAACGCCGTAGTGGCCAGGACGAACTCACTAGCCCTCAGAGCCAGCAGCGCGGTGAGCAGCAGCACGAGGCCCGCAGCGAAGAAGTCGGGGTATCCTGCTAGGACGTGGGGAGCAGACAGGGACACGTGCTCACGCAAGGCCCCGGAGATCCGGTTGCCCATCAGGTTGTCGAAAGCTGAGCTCCAGGCCCGGGCCATGCTGGCTGCCCCGGTGACTCCGGAGAGGATGAGGCTCCAGCCGGTGAGGAAAGCCCCGAGCTCGCCCCCGGTCACGTAGTTGTGCAGATACGCAGAGGCCGACTGGGGAACCCGGGCGCCCAGCTCCGCGTGGCACACAGCGGCCACCACAGAGGGCAGGGCGGCCGCCAGAAAGCAGATGGCGATGGCCGGGCCTGCCCTGTCGCTGGTCACCTCGCCCGCCAGCACATACACGCCGGCCCCCACCGTGTTGCCCACGCCCAGGGCCACTATGTCCACGGTGCGCAGGCTGCCGGCAGCAGAAATCTTAGCCACGTATTGCTCCAGTGTGTGCTTACGTACCAGCTTTTTACCAAATCTGCAAAGTGCCTGGCACAGCATTCTGGCCCGAGTAGAAGACGGTTCTAAGACCAGAGCACCGCAGCCAGCCCAGGAGCGCCGAGTCGCGTGGGGTTCGCTGAGGCTGAGCTAAGCCCCGCGGGGTCGGGCCGCGGGGTCGGGTGCCCGGGCTTCAGAGTGCTGCTTCGTATTTCACCTTATGTGCGTTAGGCCTCCGTGACGCCTAAGACACAGCAAACAGTAAATATTCACTGAACCCATATTCAACCAACCAGCCAACGCTCAGAAGTCTTATGTCACCTGTTGCAGCCCAAATATCACAGAAACGGACACCAAAGGACATGGCAGAAAAATCAGCTCTGCTCTCCCCCCGGAAAAAGTGCCAGATACCTCCCAACATTTTGCTTTTTTACGCACCACATGACATAATCCCATTTGGGTTCGTCTAACTCATGTAGCTTCATGTACTAATTAAGCTGTAAGACACAACAGGGCATGAATTTATTGTGCAATAATTCACACGCGGGATGTTTGCGCAGTGCCTGGGCGTGAGTTATGACACATTAATTCACGGCCTAGAGGGCCTCGTTGCAATTACAGACCCATTTTTTAAATATCATCTGAGTTTAAAATACAAATATTGGTCATCCCCCCCCCGCCCCGTCTTAAAACCCTTAGCCCCCACACTAGCTAGCCAAGGTCAGATGGCACTCTGGCCTCCTTTCTCCTCGTTCTGTATCAGCCATCTAGGTGTGCCGATGGCAAAGGAAGTACAGTCCAACCCTTCGCTGTACCCACCGAGGCCCATAGGGGTGCTGTGAGAAGAGACGAAGGGGGAGAAAGGGACAGGGCCTTCGTAGCCACCTGCAAGAATTAGAGGAGCAGGCTGTAAGGTCAGGAAGCACAGGAGAAATGGGGGCAGCAGCCAACCCAGGGTTCATCACCAAGAAGAGAGAAGAGCCAGAAAGGCCATTTTATGAATTCTGACATTCAATCACCTTCACCCAAAGCAACCAGGCAAAGTTCACTACAATTTTTATGTCCACAGTTAGGAGAGTGTGATGGACAGGGAGAAAAGAAATAAGTCACCTAGCTCAGGAACTCGCAACCACAACAATTCCTTCTGTCTCCTCCCTCTCTGGGTTCTGGGAGAAAAGGTGAGCTCACTTGTGCAGACGACTCTCCTCTCTGGCCACACCATGCTCTATAAACACCCTGCACCATCTGTGATGTCAGCCGCCAGCCACCTGGAGAATCTGCCCTGCTCTGTGAGCTTGTATTAAAACACTCACTTATAACTCCCTATTAATTTTTCACGAGGAGTTATTTTTAACTCGCTCAAACCATTGTCTGAATATGCCAAATATATTTTCTTAATGAACGAACCCTGCGTGTGGTTCCTCCTTCCCCTACTCCCCTGCTGCTATTCAAATGGTCCCCTCCTCTTGGGGAGCAAGGCTTTGGATGAGCAATTCACAGCAATGCCCCGGAAACGAGCAGCGAGCAGCAGCGGAGAACAGAGAGAACAAAGTCATGCAGCCCCCACCCTCCTCCCTACTCAGGCTTTGGTTTTGAGAGAATTATAGGGAATGTTGTCAGGGATTTTTAAAGACAGAAAGATCAAGTCAAAATTGAAAAGTCTCCTCTGCATATTATCAAAAGGAACCCTTGGGTTATTGCTTCAGACCTTCGTCTACAGATCCATCAAGACTCCTTATTTGCCACCCACCAGTCCAGGGTTCTGATTTATTAACAAGCACATGGGATAGATAAGGAGAGTCAATTCTTAGCTCATGGAACCTTTCTACACTATAAATGTGATTGAGGTGTGTCCCCCCCCGCCCCCCGCCAGCCCCCAGGTTTCAAACCCTTCTGTGGTTCCCCACTGCCCTTCGTTATAATCCCTCCTTCCTTCATAACCTACCCAGTTTCTGCTCCAGCTACAAAATTCAACACTCTCTCTGTTCCCTTGCCTCTCATGCCCTCTCAGCCCCTTCTCTTGGCTAAGCCCTCCCTTATCTTTTAATTCCCAGCTCAGAAGTTGCTTGCCCAGGAAGCCTCCCCTGATCCTTATGCTGCCCTTTCTGTGTGCTCTCATAGCACCCGGGCTTCCCTGGGTTGTCATTTATCTTATTGTATCAAAATTCCAGGGGCACCCGGGGTGGGGGGGGGGCGGGCTCAGTTGGTTAAGTGTCCGACTCTTGATTTTGGCTCAGGTCATGATCTGAGTGGGCAATCTGCCTGAGATTCTCTCCTTCTCCTTCTCCCTCTCTCCTTCCCCCCACTTGCTCACACGCTCTCTTTCTCTCTCTCTCGCTTTCGCTCTCTCTCTAATAAATAAGTAAAGCCTGAAAAATTCCAATTCAGCTGCCTGCCTCCTCCTCTTGTGAGGTGCTCAATAAATATTTGTTGAACAAATGTTCAAGCGGGAAGAGAAACCTGAAGGAGCACATAACCCAGAATTCCTATCTACTTGACTTTGAGATACATACCTTGTAACCAAGCAACCTTTATAAACCTGACTCAGGTAAATATATAAATGGTATTACCTTCCTTATAGAAGGCAATCAAAATGAAAAGTGTGAAGCGAAAACCAACTGTGATAAAACCTTGACCGCAGATCATTCATGGCAGGTGTAAGCCGCACATACATGATAAAGAATTGTTTGCCTTTGAGGACACTTGTTTTAAAAAATATCAGCCTGGGGATCCCTGGGTGGCGCAGCGGTTTGGCGCCTGCCTTTGGCCCAGGGCGCGATCCTGGAGACCCGGGATCGAATCCCACGTCGGGCTCCCTGCATGGAGCCTGCTTCTCCCTCTGCCTGTGTCTCTGCCTCTCTCTCTCTCTGTGACTATCATAACTAAATAAAAAAAAAATTTAAAAAAAAATATCAGCCTGCCTTGGGTTATAGGCAGCCCACCACCCACCCAGTTAGAGAATCCATACTTTTTTGAAGGCACCATGTCCAGAACCTATAACCTAGGTAGGATGTCCTAAGGCAGAGGTGCTCACGTCAGGGAACAGAGGGAGGCCTAATGAAGACCTGTGGGGAGTACTTTCAAACTCCAGGTCCTCTCCCTCCAGAGATTCTTATCCACCTAGGCCTCACCTCCCATGACTGCTCTAAACCACCCCAACTGACAAGAAATAGTCCTAAATTTCAAAAGTAAGAGGTTCTAAAAGCTTCCTTCACATGAAGGCAGCCCAGCTTAGTAGTGGGGAGTAAAGGCACTGCAGGTAGAGTGTTCAGGTTCAAATCACAACCCATAGGATTGTCGTCAGGAGTAAGTGAAATGATGCTTGGAAAGTACTTAGCTCAGTGCCTAGCAAACCATATGTAAGTAATATAATCTACCTAATATTTAATATGAAAATCTAATCCAAAGTCCCCAAGCTTTGAAAATCAGTTAATCTTTATAAATGTCCAGCCTCAAAACCATGCACTAAAATTCAAGCTTGTTAGCTAAGCCCTCATGAGAAAATGAAAATTTTTTATTCCATATAATTTGCCTTGAAATCCTAATGACTCTAATTAGACACCCTCATACATGCTGGTGCTAAACACTTTGGAGTCCTAGGCTGACTGACTTAGACCAGGCATGGAAAAATGCAAGGCTTGGGGCACCTGGCTTGTTCAGTGGGTAGAGCATCTGACTCTGGATCTGGGGTTGTGAGTTCAAGCCCCACTTTGGGCAGGGAGCCTACAGAAAATTAAAAGAAAAGAAAACAAAAAACAGAGATCAAAAAACAAAAGAAAAATGCAAGGCTCAAGTACAATAATATCTTTCTCTACAGATACTCCATCTTATTTCTACAAGAGGTAGCGGTGGGTGGGTTACCCAACTGGTAAGAACAAAGAACATTATGTCAAAATTCGTGGATTTGAGTCGTGGCTCTTCCACTTGACTATATAAACTCGAGTAAATTGCTTCATCTCGCTAAACCTCAGTTTCCTTGTCCTTAAGGAACCTCGGTTTATCCAGCTCCCTCACTGGATCAGTATGAGAATTCAGTGAGCAGATACAAAGCGCCACACCTGCTGATGGGAGCGTCACTGATGCCACCATCCCAAAGCACAATCTTAGCAAAACCCAGTACGCTCCTGTCCTCCAGCCCCACCATCCCTCTCCTAGGTACATACACCAAAGAAATCCTCTCCTGGGCCTGTAAGGGGACCCACAGGAGCACGTCCGTCACCACACTGCTCGTGGTCGCGGGAGGCTGGAAGCTCGGCCAGCATCTGTTACCAGAGGAATTTATAAGTAAAATGTGCTGTATGTGCACAATGGAGTAACTCACAGCAGTCGGAAATAATAAAGTAGATTTACAGATAGCAACACGGGTAGATCTCAGAAACAAGGTTCCGTAGGAAAAGCAAAAGCAGAGTGAGGTGCATGGCACGATGCCATGTATGCACAGTTTTGAAAACAGCCCCCAAGTGCTATTTGCTTGTCAAGGATACACATTTATCTGCTAAAAATCTCACGTCATTCCTCTGCTTAAAGCCTTCCACTGGTGTCACTTTTTATTCAGAGTAGAAGCCAAAGTCTGCCTTTATGATGCCCTACAACGTCCTACAATATTTGCACTGACCACGCTGCCTCTCAGCCTCCTGTTTCTCTCTCTTCCCATTCATTGTTCTCTAGTCACCGGCCTTCTAACCACGCCGGCCTCCTAACATACCCAGCAAGACCCCACCTGAGGGCCTTTGCACTTGCCATCCCCTATATACAGAGCACTCCCGCCTCAGACATCCCTGGGTTGCTCCCTTCGCTGCATTTGGTGAAATAGCACCTTTGTAGCAGACCTGTTTTAATCACCCCATATGCAATCTGCCCCTGACCACCCACAACAGACCTTAACTCCCCACCCTTCTCTTTTTTATCCACAGCAGTTATCACTATTTAAGGTACTGTATGTGTTATTTATTCATCTGCTCATGATTTGTCTCCCTCCAAAAAAACGTAAGCACCATGAAAGCAGGACTTTTCCATTATTTTGCCCCTGGCTCTATTCCCCGCACCCACGACTGTGCCTGACACAGTGGGCACCATATACTTGTCAAGTGGATGAGTGTGTCTAAATACACAGAGAGGGGCGCCTGGGTGGCACAATGAAGCGTCCAACTCTTGGTTTCGGCTCAGGTCATGATCTCAGGGTCCTGGGATCAAGCCCTGTATTGGGCTCCGCACCCAGCGCAGCATCTACTTGAGATTCGCTCTCTCCTTCTCCCTCTTCCTCCCTAACCCCACTCTCATTTTTTTGCTCTAAAATAAGTAAATAGGGACACCTGGGTAGCTCAGCGGTTGAGCGTCTGCCTTCGGCTCAGGGCGTGATCCCGGGATCCGGGATCAGGTCCCACATCGGGCTCCTTGCGTGGAGCCTGCTTCTCCCTCTGCCTGTGTCTCTGTCTCTCTCTCTCATTGTCTCTCATGAATAAATAAATAAAATCTTTTTTTAAAAAATAATTAAATAAGTAAATAAAACCCTTTTAAAAATATAAATAAATAAATACATACATACATACATATATACACTTAGGAAACATGGATTGGAGGAGACATTGATAAATACACTAAGCCTCCAGTGAGGAGGGGAAATCAGAATAGAGATAAGGGTGAAAGAAAGAAAGAAAATGCATTGGAAAGAGGCCCGACAGGCAGTGATGGTGTCAATGCTCCATGACTGAGGGAGGGGACCGACCCCGCTCTGTGCACTGTAGGTTCAACAAAGGAATTGCAAGAGATGATGCTGTGAGAGTAGCTGGTACAGAGCCTGATCAATGGCAGACACTCAGTAGATTTAAACTGCAAGGGGACCCGGAATCCTGTAGTCATCAGGACGCAGGGTATGCAAAGAAAGAGGGTGAGAACAGGGAAGATAGGGCACCCCTCCTTCTAGTTCCCTCTGAACCCATGTCTTTTTCTCAATTCTTCTTTCTCCTTCAGCTCCTTCAACTGTCTTTGGAGGCCCCTGTAGTTCACAGTAAGGATGCTCGTGCCACTTTCCTCTCTCTGGGGAACCATCCTCAGCCACCTACGTCCCAACAAAGAGTACAACAGTGGTTCTTCACCTTTGCTGAATCAAAGACCGCTCTGAGGTAGCTCACCTCAAAAAAAAAAAAAAGTTATACACTCTTCTGAGCAAGAATCTCAGGGGAGGACCAACTGGCAGGGCCGGAGATGCTTTGGATGACTTCTGTTTCCCTCAACTCTGTTACGC